CCTTACACCCTTCCAGAACGGTGAGTGCACCTTCACTGAAACCTCAGAAAATCAGGAAATACAGAGTTAAAGTACACAGCAGCTCCATCCTGCAACCTTAACTCTGCCCCCTGCAGCTGGCAAGAGCCCTGTGAATAGACTAAGTACGTTTCAGCCAGGGCTCTCACATTAGAAGCAGACATGAGGAATGACTAAGTAACTATCATTTTATGTGATGTATTGTGCCCCACAGAACTGTATTCTCCCATTCATCTGCATGTCCCATGCATCAACGACAGCTGTATTGATTGCTACAGAGTTGTCATGGTAGGTTGCCATGGCTTACCCCAGGGATCTCAAACACGCGGCCCGGGGGCCACATGCGACCCGCGAGTTCTTCACGGCTCCCCCGCGCCCCACAGCGTTTACCTAGAGCGGCGCCAGCCTGACGCGCACCGGGGGAAGGGCAGGCTCCCTGCCTGCCCTGCCCCTCCAGGAAACGGCCGGAACGTGGGGAAGGGGGGGCACAGGGCTCTGTGTGTTGCTCTTGCTTCAGACAGCGCCCCCAGCAGCTCCCATTGGCTGCAGTTCCCTGTTCCCGGCCAATGGGAGCTGCTGGGGGTGGTGCCTGAAGCAACAGCAACACACAGACCCCTGTGCCCCACCTCCCCCAGGTTCCGGCCACTTCCTGGAGTGGTGCGGGGACAGGCAGGCAGGCAGCCTGCCCTGCTCCCGGTGCGTGTTGGGCCGGAGCCCGCCCCCCGAGCCCCTCCTGCAGCCCAACCCCCTGCTGTACCCCGCACCCCTCCTGCACCCCACACCCCAACTCCCTGCCCTGAGCCCCCACCACACCCCACACCCTTCCTGCCCTCCCTGGGGGCAGGAAGGTGGCAGAGTTGGGGTGGGGATTTCAGGGAAAGGGTTAGAATGGGGGCAGGGCCTCATGGAAGGGGTGGAGTGGGTGCGGGGCTAAGAGTGGCAGGGGGAGGTGTCAGTAATGCGGCCCTCAGCCAATGTACTAATCCTCATGTGGCCCTTGTGGTCATTTGAGTTTGAGACCCCTGGCTTACCCAGTGACAGAGGGAAAGGTACATCTGTACCTAAAGGGATCAGGTTATCCCTTGTTTCTTGAGTTATGTGGGTTGTGCAAGTAGAGGTGCACAATAGTCTATTCTTGCTGCAGGGATTTGTAGCAGTCTGGTACCCTGCATGACAGTGCACTACAGGGCAGAAGTAAGGGCAGGTGATAGTCTAGAGATAGTCCTTAGGATGACGGTTCAGGGGTTATAACATGTGGCAACTCTGGAGTGTTATGTGCAGAAGACGTGACGTGGTTGAGTACAGGCCAGGTGTAGCCAACTGATGTTCACTAACACTGCACCAAATGCAACTTTTGCCTTAGTGAGGATGTGGTCTGACAGCTTCTTCTGGTGTATTCGTGTGCGGTGTCCCCTCCCCACAGTGCTCCATATCATCTGGAAGACAGAGTGCTACACTGTCTGTAAGGGAGGGTTGGGGCACCCCTCAAAGGGGACTGGGAGAATTAAGGTTGCAGGGTGGTGCTGGGGTGTACATTAACCCTTTATTCCCTGGTTTTAAGAAGTTTCAGTATACATGCAGTTGATATTCTGAAAAGGTACAAGGCACTGCCAGTTAAACTTAACTGAGCCAGTGAAATTCCCTTGTTGGTGGTGGTGGTTTGTTTGATTTGGGCTGGGGGGTTTTATGAAGTGGTGGAGGTAAGAAGGTCATGACTGGGGGCCACAGGAAGCTTCCAGGGAAAACTCACTGCCAGCCAACTACCAGCTGTGCTCACCTCTTGGCCCCTCCATGCCCCCAACCCCTGTTGTGACATACCAGTTTTCAAGGCAATCTCATTATGCATGTGGATATTAGAGCACTTTGATTATTAAAATCTGCTCCTTATTGTGGGATAGGGTGACCAGATAGCAAGTGTGATAAATCAGGACAGGTGGTGGGGGATAATAGGTGCCTGTATAAGACAGAGCCATGAATATTGGGACCATTCCTATAAAATCAGGACATCTGGTCACCCTACTGGGGGACGGCAGCTGTAAAGAACCCCTTGACTGAACCACCCCAGCTTGCAACACCGTCTCTACTCCTGGCCCTCAGATATCCCCACCACAGGTAAGGTTACAGCAGGATTTAACATTTTAACAGGGGTGAAAAGGGTCTACAAAACATTTTCTTTGGGGCAAGAGTATCATTCTAAACTCTTTACTTCAAGTTGTGCTTGATTTTCCTACAGAAGTTTGTGGGGGGAACTATCATATGAAGGTTGCTATGACTGTTTTTAAAAGAGTCCGGAGACTAAAATACTTAGTGTCCATTTCCTTTGGATCTCTTTTCCCAGGAACTACTGCACTTGGAGAGTTGAAATAGATAGGTGTGAACTCTTGGTTGGTATAGACTGGGTGAATTGCTATAGGAAGTTGAAATTTATTTCCTGTGTTTATTTTTCATGATAAATGTAAGTCACTGTTTTGACTGATGACAGTATTCTGGTGTTGCATTAGTCAATGATAATCTTAATCCAGTCCCTAGAATAGGGCTGTCTGTTGAGAATGCATTTTCTGATGCTCAGCAACTTCTTTAAACATGCTGACACTGGTGAGAATCACAGCTACTTGTTTTGTTTGATCACACTTGGACACACTATTCAGGAATTGATGAGGAGCATGAAGCACAAGTCATTACATCACCCTAATGCTGCTACTTTCTAGAGTCTTTCACCTTCCCTCTATTACATTAATGCTATTTCTTTGACAATACTGCAAGTAAAATATTAGTCTGAAATTTGGATTTTAGAGCACTTTGAAATATTGTCTCTCAAACCAGAAGCTTTGCTCTTATGGCAAAACTTCCAGAAGGAGCCCTTGAAGAATGCAGGCAGAGAACAGGTAATGAACACAAGACACATACAGAAGTACTTGCTTATAGCATCACAGAGATTCATCGGGCCACTGCAAGTACCAACTCCAGCACACACAGGTAACATCAAGCTTACTGCTAATCCCCCTGAAGTCAGGTCAATAAACACAATAACATACAAGACAATGACAACCCTACAATAAAGATATTGCACCATCTAGTGGTGGAGGTGCTGTCTATACTAATCATTACAATACTCAGAAAGCTGCCAAGGACAGGACTCAAAACTCACAGCACTTGGGGCTGCCAATGTTCACTGGCTATTGCATGAAAAATCCACATACGCTGACATCAGGCTGTAAATACTCTGGCTTGCAACAGAGCCACATTCCTGCTGCACATTCGTAACTGGCTTTTTCTGGCTCAACAGTTTGGCTTGAGCCATGTTGCAGAGCAAACTTTTACCCTGCATGATTTTTAAAATGTTGCTTCCCCAAAGGGGCAGTGGGTGCCAGACATTAGTTGAGCTCAGTCCTGTGTGGGTGATATCTGTTTTGGGAGGATATGAGCTCTCATTTGAGCCCCTGGGCTGCCCAAACTTTGCAATAATTGTAAATGTTGATGTCACTTGAATTCTTTGGGGCGGGGAGGTTGTATCTCAAGAATGCCTTCCTCAGGCGATCTTAGATATGGAGCACTACCCCTGCTCCCCATGATGCCTAGCAATTTTGAGACAACCCAAGTAAGCCTGTGGATTTTAGAGCACTTAGAAAAACTGGCTGTTAAACAGTAAGCTGTCCTCAACATTAACTATAGCAGTGCTACTGCGCCCCCCCACACCCGCCACCACACACACAATACCCAACATACTCAAAAGCTGGTTATAATGGGACAAGAAGTTAATCCTTCATTCTGACTCTGTCGTCTATTACTCTCAACAAAACACCCACAGAAGTCAATTTGCTCACTGTGACATTTGCCTAAGTACATGCACAAGTAACAGAGGAAAACACACTATAATTCTGGCACTGCTTGATGTGTGCATCACGAGGCAGGAGCCACGTCTTCCTCTGTTTTCAATACAACAACATGCATGCTGCTGGCACTCAGCAAATAAACGAGCAAACAAAGAGTTAAAGATGCAGCAGATATTTTTGTTGGGGAAATACTAATTTTGCCCTGAAGAAACAGCTATGTCTATTAGGTCTGGAACACACAGCTTTTTAACATTCGCAGGCATGGCTGTAATATAAACTGTTTTGAGTTCATTTTTCTCTAAGTCTTTTCTTCTAGTTTGGTCTTTGTACTGCTTCAGAGTCCTATTTCCTAGTATGGGCCAGAGTGGGCCAAACCATTTAAAAAGAAATACAGAAACCAATAGTTTTTACTCCCTGAGACAGGGAGGGGAAGTGTAGAATGCACTGGCATTCAGATTTGCACTGGTATACTCTACACACTTCTCCTTCCTGACTCAGTGAGGAGCTGCCATGTTGTGCCCTGGCTCACAACCAATGCCTGTCTCTTGTTCAGTTGTGCAATCTCTAACCCACAGTGGAACTGGGACTACTCCAAGCCCCTCTGCCTGGTAATTGTCACCATAGGTTTTGGAGCCCACCCCTCCTGCAGATTAGAATGCAGTTGAATATGTGAAGGTGTGTAGTACATGGAGACAGCACCCAAAATGCTTAAGAACCACTGATATAGAGTGTGCTTAGGAGGGAAAAGGGAATACATGCAACTGTAGACCCTGGTCCATTCTTCGGACTATAACAGCATTAGTGTCATTTTATTGATTGAACCCTAGTTTAAATCCAATTAGGGGAACTGTACGAATGTCTCAATGAAAAGCTAATTAGAAACTATTCTTCTCATTGCCACAAACCCCTCAAAGTATGTACAATATTGGTACAATTGGTTCTCCTAAGTTTAGAGAAGGCCAGGATTTTGCTAGCAGAGATGCTGTATTATCTCTCACTCTTGTACTGAGTTGTCCTTCTGACTTTAGGTAATAAAGAGTGATGGAAAAAGTGAGGGAAATAGGTAAATCCAATACTGATGGTCATTTTTTACCTTCAAGGAATAAAAGTCTGAAATAAAACCATATATGTGTGGTGACTCAAGCTTACCTACATCCCTGTCTCTGATACAGTAGTCTGGCGAGCTCTCAAAGTATACCAGGTCATTCTTGGTGGGCTTCTTAAATCTCTTGTTAGCCACAGTGAAACCAGTGCCATCTTGATTCATGACCACCTGAATCGCTCCATTGTATTTCCTCCATAGATAATCTCCTGTTTTCCTAAAGTCTGCCATGGCCAGCCAGCAGGTTCTCAGAGTACATGATCCACTCACGCCATGACATTTGCACTCCTGTTTCAAAAAACGCTTCACAGCCTGCCAAAAAAGCCAGTGAAATATAAATAGGTAAAACAAGCTACATTTTAATTTATGTTTTTCGCTCCCCTCCCATTGATTCTGCAGTCTCAGCTTTGTAATGGCTCCTGTAATCATGGTCTGTGGTGACACCCACTGGCAACAGTGAGTCATCCTCACAAGGTTAGGCCAGTCTGCTTAGTTTACTCAACTATACCAACAACCTTCAAGATTGGTGTTTTCTCCTCTCCCGCTACTTTCAATCTCCCTGAAGATCCAGGCAACACTACTGAGAAATCATTTCCCTCTTACCAGATCCACTGATATCTGGGACAGAAATTACTTTCTAGTGATAGAACACAAATGTCTTGAAGTCAATGGGAATGCACATGCATAACAAGGCAGAATCTGTCCCCTTGGAAATACTATAGGGTTTACTGTGTTGTCATTCAGTTTGAGGTAACACCATAGCAGACCTGTCAATCTCACTTTTTATGAGGTTGCCCATTTCCAAGAGCTCCTTCACTGCGATTAAAATTGATCACAAAATTGTGAAATTCACAATCTTTTCATCAAAATTTCAGTGGAAAGCAGGTCAAAATCCAATATAAACATTTTACAGTAATTTTTCCATTTCTCATCCAGATCTAAGTATCTGAGTGCCTATCCAGATCTACAAAGAGTTTCTTAAATGTGGCTTAGAAATTAACCTTGTTTCCTAGTAATTTTTTTTTTACACAGACAGTATAAAGTCTGTTATGTCATCAGACTAGGGCATCCGATGTGAGCTAGTCATTTTTATCTATGTGGCATTTGAAAGTAAAATATTTGTATAACTTCTATTTTTACAATTTTTTTAGAAAGGTTTATAAGAATTTTATTGCTTTGCAATTGAGGCCTTCATCTTCATCATTCATATCATGACTGGATATCATTAAAGCAGTCTCAGCTTCAGGTCAGGCTTTTAACATATTTGTATGTCACTGAACAAATAATGGGTTATTTATTAATTATGTGATAAGTCATAGCACGTAGACTTTGATCTATGACAATTACATCTCTGGAAGTCTATTCTCAGGATTCATGAAATGCATGCACTTTAGAGTTTGTGTTTCAGGAAAAAAAGCCATATTAATGGAGCAGGAGTAGACTGGAATGGCCTTTTCCAATCAAGAGCTTTCTAAAGTAGCTATGATACATTACATACCCAGAGTAATAGACCAGCATCTTTGGTTTTCTTCTGTGACTGGTAAACAATTTATTAGATCACTCTGGGTCAAATCAGTCACTGACATTCTCACAGTCCTATCTGGACTGATGAACTTAGTATTAAAACAAGGCCCCAATTCAGCAAGGAATTTAAGCACATGTCTAACTTTAAGCATGTGAGTAGAAATTAATGAGACTACTCAGTATTTAAAGTCAGGCACATGTTTAAATACCTTGCTGAACTGAGGCCTCAGACATCAGAAGCCGCCCATTAAGATATAGGAGGGTTTTTTCTTAAGTGATGCTCAGATAATGATATACAATATAGCCATTCATTTGGTGCATATGGGATGTTTTGATTTACTAAAATGTAAGGGCCTGGTTTTGAAAGGGCCTCTCATCACAATCTGGCCTCTCATTTTGCAGAGGAAAAATAACTGTGGTTACAATTTACTCCATCTAGACCTGTAACTGCCAAATTTGTTGATACACTCAGGTAATGAGGCATCTAAAGGACACAAGTTTCTAACTAAATTTAAACCACTAAACTGTGGGTACAAAATGGGAACCCCCTTCTAAAAACCAGGTTCTAAAGCATAAAAGGATTTGCTTTATAACTCTTTTGTTTCTTGACTAGTTTAAATTTAAAACATTTCCTGAAGTCTCTTCATTGATCTTATGTCCCCAACCTATTCATTTACTAGTTGTGGCAGTATCTTTCCAGATCAATGTTAATGTTTGTTTACGTTTTTAGCAGTTAGAGATCCTGAAACATTGCATGGACAGCAGATACTCCCAGCCAAGGAGCTTTCACCATATAAAATCATGAGCTCTCTCATGTACAACAATCCCTTACAGTAAATCCCTTACACTATAAAGCAGTTGAGATAGCCCTCTTTGACTGACCATTCTGACTCCTCATTGGATTGTATAATCTCAATGTGCTGTCTACAACCATTTGAATCTAGGGGGAGACGGACTGTTAGGAAAAAACAAACAAACTAACTAAGGGCTGGTCCACACTAACCCCCCAGTTCGAACTAAGATACGCAACTTCAGCTATGTGAATAATGTAGCTGAAGTCGAAGTATCTTACTTCGAACTACAAGGTACTTACCGCGGGTCCACACGCAGCAGGCAGGCTCCCCCATCGACTCCGCGTTCTCCTCTCGCGGAGCAGGAGTACTGGTGTCGACGGCGAGCACTTCCGGGATCGATTTATCGCGTCTAGACAAGACGCGATAAATCGATCCCAGAAGATCGATTGCTTACCACCGAACCCAGAGGTAAGTATAGACGTACCCTCACATGGAAGACTATCTACATTCATCAGAATTAACCAAATCAGGGTTAAAAGGGGACACATTTTTCTTATGGAGAATGGCTAATATAAAAGGACTTCATATCAATTTTAGGGAATTTTAATTTTTTTTTAAAACAATCACACAAAATATGAAAAATATGCTTCCTATTTAATGTGAATGCAAGAAGAACAGAGATTCTTGAACAAAGTCATCAAAATTCTTCATTTTTAACAAGTACATCTTCTCTTCAGTGAAAGTACAGATTCTGGTGGGGATATATGACAATTTTTCAGATGCTGTGCATATGATGATTTTCCTATGTCCTCTGAATAATTAATCAATACACTCCAGTCACATGGACCATATTCATTTATATGTATTCTACAAATGCCAAGGCAAAAGGTGAGTGTGTGTATTTTCCAACTCACTGCACAAGCAGTAGGCAACATACCTAGCAGTTTATTGCCAATTTACTAACAAAAATAAAGACTATTTTGGAACTTCCAAGGATGTTATTTTAATACACTGTTTGGATAAAGATTGGGTCAGAGCCTTTGGGCTAAACAAGTGCAATTTGTTTCTATTTATTTTTCAATATTTGCATTTTTTAGATTAGTGAAGTAGGTATATTTCACCCCCTCTGATAATTTCTGTTTGCATGTTTATTGTCCCCATGTGGATGTACATTATGCTGTTTTATTTCATTGTTGGGGTAGAAGGATTTGCTCTTCGGCAGCTAAACTAATTCTTTGCTGTGGTCTTCAAGTGTATTTAAAGTTTTCCCTTCTTTATTCACCCAGGTTAAAATTCACCTATGTGCAAGGTCTAGGCACCAATTAAACTCTCACTTACATAAATCTTTGCAAGATCAGCATGTAAGTGCTTAGTGCACAGTCCACAGATTGGCACATGGTTGTCTTCATGCTTGGGGGAACCCCTGTCATAGAATTTAAGGCCTGTAGGGACCACCAGAACATCTAGTCTGATCTCCTGACATTAATAATTTCATTGATTTCAGTAGGACAACAACTCACTATACATAAAATTAAGTGTATGTGTGTAAACCTTCTCAGGATTGAGGCCTTAGGTGGGCATGTAAGTGGTGCAGTCGATCTTACACTGGCCCTCTCCACAAAGTGAATTTCATCCCACATGCATTGTTGAGATATGTTAATGAGTCTCAAAGGGTAATGCCCCCAGAATGATATGTTTCCATTTTTTGTAAATAGATCAAGGAATTTTAGGTCATTTAGAGAAGATAAGTTTTAGTAAGTAAGAAGTGTCATACCCACCTTTCTTCCAGCTCTGTTGTTGTGAAGGTTCATTAGTGCTCTGGCATCTTTTCCCTTCCTCTCTTTGGCATCCACAAATGCTCTGGCAAATTTGACACCATAGTCAACGTTATCGCTGCAACCACCCCAATCAAAGTGGCCCTTGTTGTCCTTGGCAGACCCTTTCTTCTTCGGATCACAGGAGCATGATTTTAATTCTCCTTGACTACATGCCCTTGTGATAGCAAATACAACTCCAGCAGAGGAGATGGCATACACAAAGGCAGACTCCCGGCTACCTGAAACAAGAAGGCTGGCCTTAAGATGGTTGAGATATTCAGTTCCAGATAATTTTAATGGTTAAGTCCATTTATGCTGGACTTCACAGTGTACAAAAGAGAAATGGGGTTGAATTCACGCCTGGTGTAATTTCACTAGATAATTACATATGGCTTGAATTTGGCCCCCTCTCTAGTAAAAGCTCATTGACAGAAGTCTTGGATTGGGATTCACTACAAGTTTGTTTCTAGTATTTATTAATACAATTTCCTAGTTGAGTTGTATTGTATACATACACTTTTAGGATCGCTGTTTTAGTTAATTTAGAAGATCTTTGGTTGTACTGCAAGCAAACAAGCTTCCTACCTAGGCGCCAAACCTGTTCAACTTATTCATGCAAATAAGAACCACTGAAGAAGTCAATAGGACTATTTGTGTGATTGAGTAGGATTTGGCCCTATAATTGCACTTCCACATGCCAAGTACTCATACAGTTCTGTCTATTTTCTGATACTTTATTACACTATAGACTATGCCCTCTCATAAGGTAAAAGATACATATTTCAGTGCAATAGCTACATAAAATTCTTTTAATAATAAGTAGTAACTCATAATACACAGCTGTGCTATATTGATAGATATAAAACTCTTTAGGGTCTTAATACACTTTTGCTTTCAAACAGTGCTGTATTTCATTATTAGTATGTGTACTTATTAATGGTTGCCACAACAAGTATATTAACAACTTGAAGAAAAACTGAGCTCTCCAGTCAGAAAATGCAAAACAGCTTGGTGATATCAAGAAGCCTGAGACTTTTTAAAGCACACTGTATGTCAACTGGAAGAGCAAAATATTGTATAGCATTGAAGCTATTGCTCATTTCAGATTTAAAGTTTGCTCATTTCAGTTACAATTTTATAACAGTGGGCTGAAAATGACTTCTGCCAGTCTTATTATTAAAAATCATATCTACATCATATTAAATTACACTTACCTCAGCCCTTTAAAAAACTACCAAGCAATCTACAGAACTTGAAATTAATTATAGGAATATTTGTATTAAGTAGTAATCTGTATTCTCCAGAGAAAAACCCAATTACCAAATGACTGTTTTGAAAAGCAACTCAAACAACCAATGGACAACAAAGGATTACGAGTTGTACAAATGAGACTATTTGCAAAAGAGACATTCAGAAAAGTAAGTTTGTGCTGAAAAGTGCAGTCTTCAAGACTATGTTAAAGCTAGCACAGGAAGGTGAGAAGTGCACCTTCATACATTGGCTAAGCCCCTGGGAATAAAGAGGAATCTATCCTTTGAGGGCTTGTCTTCACTACAAACTTTTATCATGTTAAAGTATGTTAATTTGACTTCAAAGAGTCAAATTAGCTATCACTATACTGACCATGACTTTGTAATAGGTGTAGACCAGAAAAATTCTGAATTGTGTCATCTCTTCATGAATAAACCCTAGGGGAACAAGGTTCAATCATGATTCACTGACCTGACTTATTAGTATTTAACATTTATATTCCAGTATTATCTAGAAGCCTCAACCAGATGTGGGCTGCATTATACCACAATGCTGAACAGGACTTGGTTTTGTCTGCTATGACCACAAAGTAATGATAAAGATAATGTTAACTAACCTGGCTCCTCACACTCATGTACTAACACAATAGCATTTCTGACAAATTTTGATTCACAACTGTTGAAATGTTTCATTGGGTTTGTTGAACTGACCAAAACTATTTGATTTTGAGTTATTTCATCATTAAATTGCATTTTCCTATTGATTGCTTCCTGGGAGGAGTTGTTGTTTTGGAACCTGATACTCCATTCTCCCTTGCTGGCCAGACTCAGCAGAGTTTTTGACTCCCATGATGCATCATTCAGCTTGGTCAGATGGGAACCCATGTTACATTCTGAGATGTATTCCTCCAGGGAGCCCAGCTCATAGGAAAGAATGGGGGCCAGAATTACAACTCCCAATATGTTATTGAACTGATTCAAAATAAAAATGTTTCAGACAGAATGAAATATTCCAATTTTGGTCAAGCCAATGTGAAATAAAATATTTCATTTTGATTTTCCTGATGAAAACATTTTCAAAAAATTGAAGTTTTCCCATGGGAAAACTTCACTTTTGCAGAAACTTTATTTTCTGTTGGAAAATTCCTGACCAGATCTAATATACACAGACATCTCTTGTAACAAATAAAAGGCCCTATGTGCCACACAGACCCTACCTACACAACTTCACCTCACTTTGTAACCAGTTAGTGACTCTGGCTGACACTAAACATGATTTATGGTTGCTACTTCTGAGGTACAAAAAACAAGGACATCTGCCTGCTCCCCCATACTACACCACATACATCCCTGGGTACTGCTTTCCTCCCCACCCATGGCACTGTCTCCTCATCCCAACCCTGGGGGAGGGCACCAGATCCCAGGGCTGCCCCAGGCATCAACCTGGCCAAACAGGATGCAGCATTGGCTGGATCCACTTCTCTCCTGCCTGGCGGCGGCCCCCACATCCAGTACCTACACAGCAGTGACTGGGTGCTGCCAGACCCAAACTCCCCCTGTCCTGCTCACTGCTCCCAAGCTGCCCTGTCCCCATGGCTCTCAGGTGCTCCAGAGCTACAGCTCCCTTGGAGCAGGAACTGCTGCCCGTGGCTCCTCCCACTACACCCACTAGGGCTGCAGGAGCCAACAGGGGGATGGCTGACAAAAAAAAAAATCAGGACTTTTAATGTCCCAGAAGACTTGCAGATTTCCTGGGACAGCTACTTAAAATAAGGGCCGATCCCCAGAAAACCAGGACAGGTGGTAACCATAAACATGATTTGTATCCACAGGTAACATGGTTAATACTGTGCTAGCAACCATAGGGGCCAACTATGTATCTCCGTTACAAGAGACATAGATTGGATGGGACCCCCTGCCGTAGTGTGAATTAGAGAGTTTAAGGCCAGAAGGGACTCCCAGATCATTTAGGCTGACCTCCCATAAATCACAGGCCACCAACACCACCCAGCATCTACACCCTAAACCCAATAACCAAAATTAAATCATAATATTACAACCCACAGGAAAAGGACAGTTACCTGTTCCGTAACTGGCGTTCTTTGAGATGTGTTGCTCCTGTGTATTCCACAGTAGGTGTGCATGCTCGCCACGTGCACCAGTGCTGGAAGTTTTTCCCTTAGCAGTACCTGTAGTGGGGGAGCACCACTGCAACCCCTTGAGTAGCGCCTCTATATCGCGCTATAAGGGGAGCTGCGCACTCCCCCCACCCTCAGTTCCTTCTTGCCAGACAACTCCGACAGAGGGGAAGGAGGGCAGGGTGTGGAATAGACAGGAGCAACACATCTCGAAGAACACCAGTTACGGAACAGGTAACTGTCCATTCTTCTTCGAGTGATTGCTCCTGTGTATTCCACAGTAGGTGACTCCAAGCTATATCTAATGGAGGTGGGTAGGAGTTTAAAGGTTATTGGGACGGAGTACCACCCTACCAAACCTGGCGTCGTCCTGTGCTTGGGAGATGATTGCATAGTGTGAGGAAAAGGTGTGGACAGAGGACCACGTGGTAGCCCTACACATGTCCTGGATAGGGATGTGGGCTACATAGGCGGACGACGAGGCCTGCGCTCTCATGGAATGGGCCTTTATGATAGGTGGCGGAGGAATCCCTGCCAAGTCATAACACATGCGTATGCACGAGGTGATCCAGTGGGAAAGGCGCTGGGTGGAGACCGGTTGCCCTCTCATATGCTCGGCCAATGCAACGAACAGTTGCGAGGATTTCCTGAACGGCCTGGTCCAGTCCAGGTAAAAGGCCTGCGCCCTACATACGTCTAGCGTGTGTAGGCGGCGTTCCTCGCTGGAGGAATGGGGCTTAGGACAGAGTACCGGTAGGAAGATGTCCTGTTCCATATGAAAGGCGGAGACCACCTTGGGGAGAAACGCCGGGTGCGGGCGAAGCTGGACCTTATCCTTATGGAATACCGTGTATGGGGGTTCCGAGGTCAGGGCCCTAAGCTCCGAGATCCGACGGGCTGAGGTGATAGCCACCAAGAAAGCCACTTTCCAGGAGAGGTGGGACCAAGAACAGGTGGCCAGGGGCTCAAAGAGAGGGTACATGATGCGGGATAGCACTAGGTTCAGATCCCATTGCGGGACCAGGGCCCTGGCATACGGGAATGTACGATCCAGCCCCTTCAAAAAACGGGAGGTCATCTCATGGGAAAAAAACGAGTGACCTTGCACCGGAGGGTGAAAAGCTGAAATGGCCACTAAGCATACCCTGACGGAAGCTGGAGCCAGGCCTTGGATCCTAAGGGACAGGAGGTAATCTAGAATAAGTTAGACGGATGCGGATGACGGGGAAGCGCCCCGCTCTCCCGCCCACCTAGAAAACCTAAACCATTTGGCCAGGTAGGTCCATCGAGTGGACGGCTTTCTGTTCTCCAGCAGAATACGCTGGACATCCTGCGAACACCTTCCCTCCTCCTCGTTTAACCATGGAGCAGCCACGCTGTCAAGTGAAGCACGGTTAGGTTGGGGTGGAGGAGGCATCCTCTCTCCTGGGAGAGGAGAGGAGATCCGGGCGAAGCGGCAGCCTCCATGGGGGGGGGCCGTTAACAGTTGCAGGAGGGTCCCGTACCAATACTGGCAGGCCCAATCCGGAGCTATGAGTATGATCCTCGACCGTCTGCCTTTACCTCTGAAGGCCCTTGCCTATCAGTAGAAACGGTGGAAAGGCATAGAACAGCTGGCCGGACCACCGGAGGAGGAATGCGTCCGAGATCGCCCCCCTTTCTGCCCCTGCCCTGGAGCAGAACTGGGGCAGAGACGATTCTGCGCGGTAGCAAAGAGATCTACCTGGGGAGTTCCCCACTCTCGGAAGAGTTGCTGGGCCACCTCCCAGTGGAGTGACTGGTGGGAGAAGACCCTGCTGAGGCGATCGGCTCGCATATTACACATGCCAGGTGAAAAGATATCGTGGGCTA